TATAATCCAGAATTTGCTTCCAAATAGGGGAATCATGAGGTTTTTTCTAAACATAGTGAAAGGAGTTTTCTAGCACAGTATTTCCTCCTAAATTATGTAGTCCAGATTTTTGGTGAGTTTTGTCATGAGTTGCCATCCAAATTTAGCCATAAGAGATTTATGGATATCATGTATTTTCTTGAAGCCTAAGCCACGCACTGATTTTGGTCTACATAGGAAATCTTATAATTTGGTGGTCATTGCTTGATGTTCCCCAGAGTGTCCCCACCAAAAGCTCCTTATTTTCTTGTCAATCTTGGAAGAGACCAGTTGGGAGAGCATGAAAGATTGCATTGCATATGCTGACATTGCTAATGCAATTGACTTAATGAGGGTAGATCTTTTAGCATAAGAAAGTATTTTAGCTTTCTAACCTTGCAACTTGCTTTCCAGCTTATCCACCCACAATGATGTTACTGTGACTGCTGCAAAGAGTAATATTATGGAGTTGTGTGGAGAGTCGGGGTCAAGTAATGTTGTACGGTGAAGGTACCAATCTTGTAGATTTAGGTTTGGGTAATGATCAGTGTGCAGTCCCCATTTGTTAAACCAAATATTGTGAGCATTGGGGAATAAAATAAAAAGAACAGATGAATACATGTCTCAGTTTGTCGTTTGCATAAGGGCTTGAGTAATGGTTCTCCAAAGCATAATCTTATGTCTTTCATGGATTTTTGCTTTCCATAGAATGTTTCAGTCAGCAGTATCTAAGTAGGGAGGATCTGGCATACTAATTTGGCAGTGAATTGACCATTTGCTTGAGTGGATCCATGGCATTTGGTCCTCTTTAGGATATTGGGGTAGTTGAATTGCTTGGATAGCTTAAGCAATTTGTTTGCAGAAAAGGGTATTAAAGAGATCAGTGTTCCAGCTTTTGCAGTCTTGATTTAATAGTTCGACAACTATTATTGGGAGATCTTCACACTCTTGGTCAAGTTGGACTCGAAAGTTTGGCATGCTAGGGACCCAAAGTTCTGTCCATATATTGATTGATCTTCCATTATCAACTATATAGCATTCACCAGCTTCAATGATCAACCTACAATCTAGAATTTGCTTCCAAACAGCAGAATCATGAGGTTGTTTCTAACATAGAGAAAGGAGTTTTTTGGCACAATATTTCCTCCTAAACTGCGTGGTCCAGATTTTTGGTGAGTTTTGTCATTAGTTTCCATCCAATTTTAGCCATAAGAGATCTGTTGATATCATACATTTTCTTAAAGCCTAAGCCACCCATTGATTTTGGTCTACATAGGAAATCCCATGATTTGGTGGCCATTGCGTGGTGTTCCTCATAGTGTCCCCACCAAAAGCTCCTAATTTTCTTGTCAATCTTGGAAGAGACCGCTTGGGAGAGCATGAAAGATTGCATTGCATATGCTGGCATTGATAATGCAGTTGACTTAATGAGGGTAGATCTTCCAGCATAAGAAAGCATTTTAGCTTTCTAACCTTGCAACTTGTTTTTCAGCTTGTTAAGGATAGGTTGGAATGCCCTAGTTATGTTCCTTCCTATTATCATGGGCAGGCCTAAGTAATTGACATTGTTTGAACCCTTATTGACGCCAATGATGCTTTTGACTGTTGAGATATCTGCCTGGTGTGTGTTTGAGCTGTAGAAGACCTTGGACTTTCTTTGTTACTGGCTTGACCTGACCATTCTTCATATGTGTTGAGACATGAGGAGATTATTTCTGCTTTTTTTTGCATTTGCTCTGCCTAGTTTAGGAGATCATCAACAAACAGGAAGGGGTTGATTGCACTGCAGTTCCTGGCTATCTTAATGCCATTGATATTGCCTTGTTCATTTTCCCTGTTGAGAAGTCTAGAAAGGATGTCAGAACAAATAATGAACATAAGTGGAGAAAGGGGGTCCCCTTGCCTTAGTCCTCTTTGGACCTTGAAATTGTCATATGGGGTGTCATTCACCAGCACATAGAAAGAAGTTGTAGTTATGCATTGTTCAATAATGCTGTTAAACTGTTGTGGAAATCCCAGTAGGGTTAAGATTTGTAAAAGAAAGGGTCATTCAATCCTATCAAAGGCTTTGGCCATATCAACTTTGATCATCATAAGCCCCCTTTCTTTTTTTCCTTTTCATTTGATGAATAAATTCTTGTGCCAAGACTATGTTTTCAGCAATGTTTCTCTTTAGGACAAAGGCAGTTTGTGTGTGGATATTTTTTGGTCCAGGAAGGGTCTAATTGTGCTAGCAAGAATTTTTCAGATGACTTTGTAAGCCATATTGTTGAGGGCTTTGAGTCTTTTGGGATGAGGCTGATATTTGTTCTATTAAGTTCTAAAAGCATATGACGTCTTGCAAAGAAGCCTCTAGCTCCATCAATTGAGTTTGCCCCCACAATGTGCCAATAGCTTTTGTAAAAAAGAGAGGACATCCCATCTAGGTCAGGGGCCTTCTGGGATGACATTGCAAATAGAATAGTCTTTATTTCATCATAAGAGGGAATGACACATAAGTTGTCACGATGGTCTTGTGTTATAACAGGTGAAATAAGGTCCTCCAAATTGTGTGGATGGAATGTGGTGAAAAGGGATTGGAAGTGAGTGATAAATTGATTACCAATTGTTTTTGGGTCAATAAACCAGGTACCATTCTGGAGCTTTAGACAGTCAATTGAGTTCCTCCTCCCACTAATCACAATGGTTGAATGAAAGAATCTAGTGTTTGCATCTCCATCTCCCATCCATTGAATTCTGAACCTCTGTTTCCATAGTGTTTCTTCCCTTTTGAGCTGTTCATTCAACTCATGTCTCAGTATTTTTCCTTCAAGGATATTGTCTGATGTAGGCTCATCCTATTGCAGTTGATCAATCCTGCTTCTGATGGATTTTTCTTTTTGTATGCATGTCCCAAATTGTTATTTATTCTAGATTAGTGAGGCCTACTTTGTTGCTAGAAGCTTCCTACAGAATTTGAAGGCCATAGAACCTGTCTTGCTAGTTTTCTAGGAGCCTTTGATGAAGTGGTGGCTAGTAGGATCTCGTATCCACATTGGTTCAAATTTAAAGGGTTTTGGTGTCCAATTTTGGCTTCCATAGGTGTTGAGCAAGAGGGGTGCATGGTCTGAATCAATTGAGGGAAGGTGTTTAATGGTTTCTTTGGAGAAAACAAGCCTCCATTCCATTCTAACTATCCCCATGTCCAAGTGTTCTTTGATGTTAGCTAACTCTTCCCTTTTATTTGACCATGTGTATGGATTTCTAGCATATCCCAAGTTACCTAAACCTAATCATTGATAAAACTTTCAAAACCACCATTGGATGGACAAGTGTAAGGCTTCCCTCATTTTTTCTCTGTTTGTGAGGTGATGTTAAAATCACCAATGAAGAGAACAACTGCAGGTGATTCACTTTGAATTTGTTCCATAGTGTGCCAGAGATGGTGTTGGTTGGTACCTAACTGTAAGGGGAGCACAGACACCATTTAGGATCTATTTGGTTTCTGGTGGGTCTGAAAAGAGCATGTCAAATATCATGTTTCGGGAGGAGAATATGATTTCAATGTCCACACCTTTTTTCCATGCTAGGCAGATGCCTCTAGACAATCCATTTGACTCTTGGATCTCCATGTGTAAGAACCCGAGGCGCAAGAGGATTATTTTGATTTTCTTGGTGTAAATTTTTATCTCTGACAGGAGTAGGAAATCTGGTTCATATTCCTTTATTTGCACCCTTAGATGATGAATTGTTGACCCATGAGCGAGCCCTCGACAATTCCACACATATTCAGGCATGACGGAGGTGAGGCATGGTAAGGCCCTCCACCTCAACCATTGTGGGAATATCTTCAGTCCATTGAATTTCAATTCCATGGGAATCCCTTCTGTACTCTTCCTTTATCATTCGTGTTGTTCTTTTACAAGAGAATTTTCTAACTGGTTTAGTCACGACATATGATTGCCCAGATTCCTCAATTATTGCATTGGTTTTTCCAGATTCTTCATTTGATGCAGGATTGACTGGTGTGTTTGAATACAGGTACAACATCTTCTTGTTTATGTATTTTTTAGGGTTTGTGTGGGTGGTCTTCAAAAGTTGTTTGTTTTAGTAAGAGACCAATTACAGTGAGCTATTTGAAAGGCAAATAGGGTGAAGGGTCGGGGATGTTAATGTGAAGGGAAGTTAGAGAGGTGTGAAACTCTGATCTGGTGTGTTTCTATCAAAAGGTGGTTGAGTTAGGTATTTGGAGGGGTTCTCATTGATGACATTTAGGGGTGGTTTTGGGTTAATTTGTGGTATCGGTTGGCTATTGGGTCAAGGGTCTCATGGTCTGGGGTTGTATAGGAATAGAGAGATTGTAGTTGGGTTGGGGTTTGGGTGGGTCTGGGCTTGTGGGGTAACTTGATGGTTGTAGTTGGGTTTGGATTTGATATGAAGATTTATGTGTCCATCTCACCATCCTGGATTTCCAACTGTGCATTGTGATTCCCGTTTTGTCGTTTGGTTGAGAAAAATTTTCCTATGCCGCATGACTTTGACACAAATGTTGCAGTGGATGCGATTGGTTGCAGTTATATGGTGAGGTCTGCGGTTTGGGTTGGGAGCTCAGGGTTCAGATGCCCTTTATTGGGTGCCTCAGCCAAGGATTTTGATGTTTGCATGTGAACCTTTTAATAGATAAGAGGATTTTGCACAACATGAACTTGCTGATAATGTGATCAAATTCTGCCTCGTACCAGCAGGACTAACAGAACTGCCAATTCACAAACTTGACAAGCTCACCACCTCCAACATAATGCCAGCTTCTGTCAATCACTCCCGTTGCTTCTGTCAAGTTCATCAATTATCAGAACTGAATCAGGTTCCTTAGTCTGACCACATACCGAACAGACGATGAACTCCTGACACCCTTTCGGAGAACAGCCTGTAGTAATTGGATAGTAGTAAAGAGAGCTATCTCAATTCCAAACAGATTATTTATAATCGCATCTGTCCTCTAAACAGCAAGAAATGATCAGACTCAAATGAGGAAATAAAATGATCAGTTCACAGTTACAAATGGGCATTTTTAGAATCATAAATTTTTGTTCAGATACATATTTTCTCTCCCCCACCCGTGCTATGTTTGGTAAGCCTACCTCGATGCAGAAATTACCTTATATGTGAGACCTTATCCTGGTATGAAAATAAAAATTTGAGATGCTTCTCATGGGGGATGATAAGGGTTGGACCAACCACACTAAAATACATTGAATTGGTTCGAGATCTTTGCACTGCAAGTTGGACACATGGAACCAATTTCACCTGTTTGTGTTCCAGATTGGACTGGCTCATGATAGAACTCACTTCTGCACCAGACACATATCGTAGTAACTTGATTCCTGCCACCTATATTTGGCATCAAAGCATCCTTTCCAAGCCAAAAGGAAGAATCAAATCCTTGTTCCATCTCCGCACCATATGCAAAAACCTTGGAGTCCTCAGGAAGAGAATCTGAATTTTGTGTGGTAAAGAAGCTGTATTCTACAGGTTCAGTTCTACCTGAGCTCAACCCTTCAAAACCCATGTTCCGGTCATACTTCTCATTGACTCTAAACAATCCATTGTCTCCCTGTCCCCAGATATGCAATATCAGTTAAAGAATCAAGAAACTAAACCACATAGAACAGAAATACAGAGAAGAATAATGAATAGTCAATAGGAGGGATCCAAATTTCAGAAGTAATTTGGAATCAGAAAAAGCCAAGAAAAACAAAGTGGAGCAAATGACACCAACCAATGTCATTTAATTAGATATCAGAACACAGTTTTCCTATCACCAGACTGTATACTAGTGGTAATTATAACACATACCTTATCTGAAATTATATCAAAGTTGCGAAAAGTGCTCGATGATTGCAGCAGTGGGGTTGAAGTATTGGCTACACCATTTGGTAACCCATTTTCTTCACCAAATCTCCAAATTCCACCACCAATGACATTCCCGGCAGGCTGAGCATGGCTGCTACCAAAACCAATTGAAAACTTACAGTGGCCAGGATTTCCAACCTCATCCACGCTAGGCCCCTCCCAAACTCTTCCAGGGTAAACCATATTAAAACTATTCTCAAAGCCATATGTTTGGTCATTGAAACCACGTAAATCACTTGCAGAACCTCTTCCCTGCTGTGGATTTTCTAACGTACTATCGTTAATCCTATTTAAACTACTTTGAGCACCAAATGTATGCTTGAACCCAGATGAAACAAAGGAACTATCTGCAAGATATCTTTCCTGCCCAACACTAGCAGGATCTGCATCTATCCCTGTGTGTCGGTGGCCAAAAGTAAGACTTAGCTCATGATTCCTGGAATTTTGGACCACATCAAGTTTGGGATCATCTAGTGGGGTAGAGTAAATCCTATTCAGTGTATTTGCATTATAAGACGATTCTGCAATACATGACTGACCAAGTGAGCCACCAGCAGATTTTTCCCGCTCGCTGCAATTCATTGCACTACTGTAAGCCCCAGTTACATTATCTTCAGCAGAAAATGTCTGCTCATTCCCAGATGGGAAAAGTGAGCAAAACTCAAGACATGAATCCTGCTTAGCACTAGTCACAGCGTCTGCATTCAGTGCACTATGACTGCTGCCAAAAGGAATAGTCTGTGCACTGTTCCTAGAAGTTTGGACTTCGTCAATGTCAGGCCCCACCATTTTCCTTGTAGAAACCTTATCCAGATAATCCTCAACACCACAGTTTTGCCCATAATCAGAGAGAGAAAGTAAACGGCTTTCAGAACTTTTTACTTGCCTGCGCTCCTCGACCGGGCAAGTGGAAACATCATTCCCATGATTTTTTATAACACATGGTTGCGCATTCGGAGATGGAACAATTGAACAGCCTTGAAATTGTCTTTCCTCCTCAAGGCTAGTCAGAGCATCCTTGTTTGATCGAGCATAGCCGCTGCACTCATCGCTCCCCAAATAGAATATTCCATTAACTTTGTGCTCACCTACCAAGTTAGGGAAACCCCTATTCAAATTGTCTTCAAAACATGTTTCCTTATCATTAGAGGGAGTTAGTACACTGCTTTCAAAACCTCTCTGCTGCTTGACAGTATCAACATCGCTCAATTTCAGCTCATCCTCATTTGGAACAAGTAAATGGCCTTCAGAGCTACAATGCTGCTTGACTCCAATCACATTGTTTTCATCCAACCCAGCATGACCATTGCCACTACCAAATGTTGACTCATTACTTGCAAATTCATTCCCATCAAGATTGATCTTATTGATAGTGGTTATAACATTCCTATCATCCACATTTTCACCATCACATGTCTTATCTTTGCAATTTGAAGTAAGTAAACCACTTTCAGAAACTGCTTCCTGATTGGGCTCCTCTGTGCAAGTAGAAACTCCAGTCACATTGTCAACATTAGATATTTGGTCATTTAGAGATTCAGAAAGCAAGCAACTTTCAGAACTTATTCCCTGCCCACTGAAACATCTGTTGAATCCGTTGGCAACAAACGCAGTAACTTGTGTTCCGCCAGATGTTTCACAGTTGCTGTTGTTCTCATTATTAAACCTTACAGCTTCGGAATCTAAACATATACTAGATTTAGCTGCAACAACATCTGTAGCATCATCTACTCTTCCCACTTTACCATCAATCATACAATCTTTGTCCTGCTTATCACCAGATTCTTCAGTTGAAGCTTTTTGGTCTCTGTTCGCTTGTAAATGCTGTTCGTAATGATCCAGACATTCTGGTCCATGATCTTTCTTGCCAGTAAAATTTTCTGAACTAGAACCTGATTTAAAATTACCCTGACGGGAATCAGAATTCTGTTCATCATCACATATGGCACCAAAAGTTTCTGTAACAATATTGCTCTCACCCCCATTTGACCCTTGCAAAAAATATTCCCTTCGAGGAATATCAGATGAAGATAGGTCAACACTCATTCCCACATTTTCACCTGGTGATGCGTCAGCATTCTTCACGTGGTTTTTTACATGAGCACCAACATGGCCATTGTAACGATGCCTCTCATTAAATCTCTTATGGCAGAACTGGCACTCATATTTTCCATCTTTGATTATTACCCCATCGGTGATGGAGGAACCAAATTTCGATCTCTTTCTCCTGTGACGTGTTACCTGGTGGTGCAACAAATCATCCATCTCATCAAATGACAAGGTACATTTGTGGCATTTCAATATCTCTCCTACTTGAACCTCCATTGCATCCTCAATCTTGAAGGTGACCTGCATTTCATTATTACTAGATGTAGAAGTAATTGGTGGTGACAAATAGCAAACAAGGTTTTCCTTCTTGTTATCTTCTTGAATGGAAAGTTCTGCAGCCTGTAGTTTATCAAAAAATAAGAAAAAGAACAATAAAATATAAAAAGGAAAAAAAAGGAACAAACTAAGGACTAAAAAATGGATGAATACATTTCTTAGTATAAAAGCCAAAATATGTCCGTTAGTTGCACAAAGAAATTGAATATATCTTTTAGGTAAATAAAAGGCTGAATATATCGCTAAAACCAACTTACACTTCCAGAAGTCGTTTTGTAGGTGAACTGAATATTCCCATCATTGTGAGCATAACTTGGTGGGTGCACATCTTCTAGCCCGAAGACAGAAAGCAAATATGAAGAAACTTCCTTGCATGACACAAACTGCTTCCCATTAGGGCTGAATTTCACCAAGTTAGGGATAACTATGTAAGTAAGCACTGCACAAACTATAAAAAACAATACAAAAACAATAGTGGCTTAATAAAAGCAAATGTGTTAGCAAAAAATGTTTGCGATGATCACTGTTGAGAATTCAGCCTTCTGATACAAGGGAGAGCCGTCTGTAAGTGCAATACAAGAATGGAAAATCCTAACTAGATGACATAATCCTTCAGGACTCTGCAGCATTGAATGAATATAACTGAGTAACCATATAAGGAAACTCCCTAGATCTCTTATTTATAGAGCTTTATTAGAGGGGAAAGTGGAGAGCTGAAAATATAACCCAAAAAGAAAGGCCTATAAAACAGAAAGGTGTAAACAGTAATTTGACATTCTAATAAGAAAACTTTCTCATATATTAAAAAAAGATAGGTAGGTAGAGAGAGAGAGAGAGTCTACTTCACAAAGTTTTGTATTGAGATCCCCACCCAAGCTAATTGATAAAGATCAATAATCCTTCTTAACCAAAATAAGCATTCCTGAAGCCTTTCAAAAAAAATGTTTTGATAATAGTAAAACCCAAGCCTCAGAATTATTTGTTGATGATAGGAAAACCAACACCATATTACAACCTTCTAAATATTGTGCTACTCATAATGGTGAGGAGAAAGTAGTCAAATTCCACTAAATAGAAAAGGCTTAAAAAACCTACAGATTCATCCATTATAAATCCTCAAAGAATTATCCCAAACAACCTGACTAGTACCCTATTGTCTGGAAATCCACAAAATAACAACCATTTTTTAAGCAGTTTTTCCCTCCTTATAAGATCAAAAATAGGATTTATTTTAATCAAAGTTCAAATATGGCGGTTAAGCACAATAGAGATATTTCCATTTAAATTTCAGAAGATAGAATTAAGCATAAAAGGAGGAGAGGGCACACAAAAGTACATATAGTCTTTGCATGGGCATGACACGCACATGCATACAAGCACAATAGCACATTAAAAGGCGCGCACACACACACACATACCCCCACACCCTCACACACACATATATATACGAGAGAGAGAGAGAGATGTCATCATGTGACATGGAGCATGAAAATATATGCTCGGTGATACATTACCCAAAATTGCATCAAAATATATGCTGATCTAAAATCTCAAAATATATGATTTTTGAATAAAACATGCATTTTTTTAACAATCAAAAGCCCTATTTCATGTAACAAACAATTTCTTATATGCAACTTTCCGCACATGTTGTCCTAGATGACATCTATATAATAAAATAGAAGGGAGTTTGAAATTTTATACCCCATATGTTTTTCTCCCCCAAACTATCTTATCACATCCATCATCTCCCTCTTAATGTTGCACTGCCCTCACCTGCATACAGTCGCCCGACACACGCATTGAGCACCACGCCTGTCAGACATCTTTTAATTTTTTTTCCTTCTTTTCCTCTACTCCTTTCTCTCTCTCACCGGTGCCTCTCTTTCTTTGGAGCAACCCACAAGGCACACAACACACAAACCCAGGTACCACTCTCTTCCCCCCCCCCCAAAAAAAAAAAAAAAAAACCATTTTATACTCCTCTCTCTCCCACTGGCGACATCTCCAGCACCACCGCCACTACGTGAGTGTCTGAGTGAGAGAGAGGGGAGAAGACCAAAGCCGTGGCGTGAGAAGTGGTGTCTAAGGGTGCAAAACTGTTGGATTTGTGTTTTCTAGTGTGATTCTGTCTGAAGGGTTTATAGAGGTTGCTGTTGGTTCTTGTACTAGCTTTTGCTATTTTCTGAAAACTTATTTTTGCAGTTGTATCTAGCTTGCATTGTGAAGTTAGGATCCAAAACTGATGCATTTCAAAGGTAAGGGCAGGCTTGGTATGTTCCTTGATCGCTGGAACTTAGTCTTCTCTATGATCTATAATTTACTTAGTCTTCTCTATGATCTGTAATTTCTGTTTGTGTATTTTACCATTTAAGGGTAGGCTAAGAGTGTTTTTCTTCATCAAGGCCTCTTTTGGACCAGGTATATATATATGAAATATGTTGGTTTATACATATATTGGTGTATATGTGGGTATGTTTATATACATATTTGAATGTGTAGGTCTCTCAAATGGGTTTTGTATCTCCTAAAGAAATTAACAAAAAAAATCAGGTAGAAGAAGATGAAAGAAGAATTTTATGGCAAACAAAAAAAAAAAAAAGAAGAACAAAACTAGGCGTCAAATAGAAGAAGATGGAGATGTTGGCTTAAATTCAGAAACTCCCCCCCTTAGTTTTAGATAAAGCACATACCTACTTATTGAAATTATAAATTTAAGTCAAAGGTTTTGTTAAGTTACAGAAAGTCCCCTTTTGTGTTTCATGAGTAACAAATGAGTACCTGTTGAATTTACACAATGACCCCAGAAGATCATAAAATATTACTAAAACACTAAATCAGTATTTCCCATGCCTTAGATTTTTTTTTTTTACAACCATCAAAGCCACAGCTACCGAGTTCGCCACCGCCACCGCCAACGCCAGGAACCAGCAACCCTTCTGCGCAATGACCCAGCAACCCAGTAGACCCCCACCCTTCTGCGCAATGACCCTCCCCCAATCCCTCTTCTGCACAAACAACCACCCTCCAAAGATCCAACGGAACTCACCCCCCTCACCAATGTAAAACGCACCCCCCCTTCTACGTAAACAGCACACACGGGTTCTCTCCAGCAAAGCAACATTGGGAGGATATACACACACACTGTCACCAGCAAAGTAACACTGTACCTCCCCTCCCCTCTTTCTATTTCTCACTGAAAATGCCCAAAACCCAGACCCCAATTATAATGCCCATGACATGTTTGTTGAAATGCCGAAGAGAATCCACACCACAAATACTATGAGTTTGGATGTATTTTTTCTACCATTTTAAATTTTTTTATGCAATTTTGAATGTGCTATGAATTTCGTGACTGGTCAATTTTGAGGTAGTTAATTTATGGACGGTCAATTTTAATGTCGTTTCTGCTTTTCTGATCTACTCTTTATGATTTTGTTTTGGTATAGTTTTGTGATTCATTTTCATATATCTATAGTTGATAATTGCTTCCAAGTTCGTGCAATTAATTGGTTTTCTGGCAGAATAAAGTATATCACTACCAGTTTTACACTTTTTCTCACATTCATGATTTATATAGGAAGTATTTGCAATTCTAGATGGACTTCTTTTATATAGTTAGAGACAACCAATTTGAGGATTCTGCTATGGGATTGCATAACTGAGATGGGTATCACTAGGGACCTGGTTGGGAGTGTCTTTTCCAAAAGCCGGTCCATCGGAGCCCATGAGAGCAATGTGAGTTGATTTCATTTTAGCTTACTGGTTTTCTTGAAGTCGCAAAGGATTTTACTTGATAAAGATATTTGAAAAAAGTTCTATCAGTGAAAAATTGGTCGATGAAATTGATTGCTTTAAAAAAGGGATCTATTTGAGCTTTTGCATTTTGATTTTTTTGTATGTGTTCGTGGATTTGTAAAGTTGGTTCCCTGAATCTTTTGACTATTAATGTGTTAGTTAGAATTGGGCCATTAATGTATTGCTATTGTGTTTTTGCTTTTGAACATTCAAATTCTAATGTTTTGATTTGATTTTAATCTATTGTGTTGATTTTTGTTGTGATCTTCTAGGCATTTGTTGTAGTGGCGGTTGAGTTTTTAAAATTGTGATCTTCTTTCTTTAAACTCCTTGAACATTCAAATTCCAATTGAATTTGCTCTTTTTTTCATTTGAGTATCCTCACAGTTTTGTTAGTTTTTATTTTTGGGCTTGCTCGCAAGATGTTTGAAAGGGTTTGGTTTCTTGGTTTTATATGGGTAATGGATTATATGATTTTTGCATAATTCCTTCTTTAGATTTTGATTGTTTTTTTAGACTAATTTATAATTGAGTCTATTATTGTAAACTCTTTTTGGTTCAATACCCTTTTAACTATTGTTGTTGTTCAATACTTAATTCCATTTGTTGGTCTTTTATAGCTACTTTTTTTTGTCCGTTGTGTTATTACTTCACCAACATCCATTTTTATTCCTGCTTCTTAACACCAATATTTATTTGTTGATTATTTATCGTTCAAATTTAATGTTCAATTTTTTTTAGTTGCACCATGCCTTTAGGCACGGGTTATCCCTAATAAATAAAACTACAAAAATAATGTTGATTCATCAGTTATGCCATCAAGAAGAAGTATGTGAAGAATAGCAACCAATGATGACAATATCAGGCATGCAAAGAACTTGTATCAAACTAGCAAAATGAGATCAGCTTCAACCAGGCAAAAGCAACAGAAAGTAGCGGATTCCATAATGCAAGTAGCACCTCAAAACCCATTCAGCTCGTTTTGATTCCACCTCGTTTTTTTTTTTCCTCATTTTACAGTAACCACCAAAGATTTACTCTCACCAATATCTAATCCATTATGTCCCCTGGTTCACCCATTACACCATCCAAATGTCACAAAGTCTAATGGAAACCTAAATACAATAAGATATGCTAAGTTCTTGACATAGGTGCACATAGTGAAGGCAAAGGGGCCTCATTAAAAAGATCTATAGACATAAATATATGGTATGATCAAGATCTAAATGAGTTATTAAGGCGCAAAACAAGTTTGATTGAGCTGAGTAATAGGATGCTCATGCTCTGTATGAAATTTCAATAAGCAATACAGTTTCCATTGATCAGGCTTAGCTCTTACCTTACCTTTGTTCTATTCTTTACTTAGGGGCTAAACAATTTGTGAACTGTCCCCAAATATATGGTATTTAGAATTTCATTCAAGCAGTTAGAGAATTTTCGTATAGATCCTTCAACCTCTAAGAGCCAAATTTTACACAAATAACTGCCCCTCTCCATGACAACCCTAGAACCCAGTGACAAAAGGAAATTACAAGAAGCAATCCCAAATGTAGTGCAAGACTTATATCATGCAAGTTGAACACGAAT